CAGTTGTACCTCTGTTCGTCCAAAGATACGCAGGTATCATCAACCTTCTTATCCACCTCGTTTTGGCACTTGAGCATCTGCTTGAAACAATACGAACAAAGCAGATCCAAACAGAAAGTCTCCTCATACTCATTGTCGCTAATACACCTACCACATTGAGCACACCTTGCTATGCAGAGGGTACAAGCTCTGCATGCTTGAGAGGACGATTCCTTAACCTGACAGCCCCCGGCTGGACAATCATACACCAGCCTGAATTTCTCACACCTCGGGCACATCTCGATGTCTATGGTCCGATTGTCATCAAAAGGAAGATAAAAATTTCCCCTGTGATAGAAATGGGGCTCCTGACGTTTATCGGGCCTGAGGCCACCCGGGCCCAGTAACAACTTCAGCTCTTCATAGTGATCGCGTGTCACGCCATACAGCCCGCCGATTCTCAGGTGCTTTATGCCTTGGAAATCTTTATTGGAGTTGTAATTCTTTATGTTAATCAAAATCCCTTCAATGGTGAGCCTCGTGCAGCCAGGTACAAAGAGCTGCATCACAGATTTTAAGATAGACATATGAATCTGTAATAACTTACATAGTGAAGCATAAGTCACACACGCAATCCGAAGTACCACGTTACAAACACTAAGGTAAGAGCAAATGTTAAACCACCACTCAAGTGTAAGAACCCAGAGCAATCATGTCAGCACAAATCACTAAATGAAACGACAAAAAAGAAGAGAGCAGTTAAAAAAAGTAAAACATAAACAGATTTTTTAAATAAGGAAAGTATTGATGGAGATAGCACTTTAGCATAAAAGCACAAAGTATAAGGTTGTCTACCAATCACCACAAAGAGGCATCATTATTATTGACTGGAACAAATATGCTAATAACTTAATTCCGTGAAGATGAATAGTACAATTATTGATAACACTCTAAGACCTGATCAAAAAGTGTTGGCATCGCCTCCAAACATCAAATTTGATGAGCCAAAAATTATCATGATTAGAACATAGCACATACAGATACACTAACATATAAATCTAGGTGCCCAATCATATTATTCATTACACCATTTTTCACCTATAGGCCCACAATGAAGAAAAACAATGTACTCACTAAACCAAATATGGAGATTAAAAGGGCAACACTATATCAAAAACTCATAAGAAAAGGGTGGTTCAGCCACTGACCTTAGTTAACCGAGGATTAGTTTCAAGCACACGCCTTATGCCATCATCTGTGACTTTCGGGCACTCCACCAAACTCAGACACTGCAGGTTACCGTTTGCCCTGCTAGCCAATTGCAAAAGAAGATCATCCGTGATCCTCTCATTAAGAGGCTGATCGATGTGGATGCTCATCCACAGCCAGTACGCCTCTTTCACCGACACCCGGAAGGACTTACAAGCCCTTTCCACAGACAAAAGTTCCTTGACTCCCAGATAGCTTAGTGCAAAATTCCAAGCTTCATGCAGTGCTCCATCTTTCGCAAAACCCTCCATTTTTTCCCCAAGTTGAAGCTCAGAACTACAGCAAGTGCTCTCCTCGTTGATGCCTGCAATCCCCCCCTCATCACAGACTGTTTGAAACCCAAAGTCATAAGGGGCGAGTGGATCCCCCATATCTCTCTCCACCCCAAGCTGGCTACTGCTTGGGCAAGAATGTGTAGCCAAACGAGACTTCTTGTCAACTTGAGGATTACTCAAGTACTGAAGTCCAATCTGATTGTGCTGATGATTGCCACAAAATGGTTGGAACTTCAACGCATTATTCCAAATTACACTCCAGTCAGCAAATAAATTGTAATTTTCTTGACCGGACCTCCAATTGCTGCTACTCAAATACCCACTGTAGTCAACCTCCAAGTCCTCAAGCCACCCGGTGATGGCTGTGAAGGTAGTCTCAATGTCCATCCCAAATGGGTCAGAGGGCAAAAGGTCAACAATGTCCTTAGAATTTGACTCGGGCGAGCGACAACAGTCAGCTCTATCCTTCCCTCTGTTAATATTCCACTCCTCAAACTCCCCTCGATTTACATGCCACGGCCTCCCATAACCTTCCACATTCTTCTCAGGAATACCCTCAGCAAGACACCCATTCACAATCCTCATAGGAGACCACAAATTATCATCGGAAATATGGGGTGGAAATACCGGCATATGCGAATAGTTCAAGGCCATCTCAGTATCTCTGCAGCCAATCCTAGATTCCTACCTTGCTCTCTATTCTATCTTCCCTACCAAACCCAAAAGCAAGATCCCAGCAAAAACTAAACAACTTTGCCTCGTTGAAACATTTTTCACTTTTTTTTTTTTATTTTTTCTTCTACCCTTTTCAAGCTCTTCTTTCCCTCTCTACTTCTTTTCTTCTATTTTTCTTCTTTTTTTTTTTTTTTCTTTTTGGCAGGATTATGTTAACGTCTAATAACGATTCAAACAAGAAAACCCTCTATTTCCAATGACAGACTAAAACAAAGCATCAAAAACTTCACCGAGTATTTCTTGTAAGGAACCTAAACAAATTAGCAATTTCCCCTATTTAGCTACACCTATCAGATCGATCAAAAAGGT